AAACGTCTTTTGAAATTGTTTTTGGGATTAAATAATAAGGGATAAAAACCTGTTTTACGTGAAATTACATCACTTGAAATAGTAAACTTATGAGTTGTCGAGTTTGCTCTATAAAAATTCACAACTTAAGAGTTAAAGAACCAATATACCCAGAAATGCTCAATTTTGAATGCGGTTATTATTTGAAAAATTTTATTTACGGCCTAAAATCTAGATAGCTTTACTTAGCATTAGTCTGTTGCTTATTTGAATTTAGGTTTTGTAAAAATTATCTTTGGAACAATACACTTTAAAAAACTTTGTTTTTTCTTTGATGTCTGTTAGATGTCGCTTATAACGATTGAAATTTCGCACTACTTTTGTTAATGTTAAGGAAACTGCATTAGCTCATTGTGCTTTCGATGGCGATTACAAGCAGAACGAGTTAGCAGCCGTATTAGAGGTTTACTTTTTACAGTAATCTATTAGCTTTCTAATTTTAACTTCTTCACATTGTCAGCACTTCAAGTTAAATTACTTTTAATCAATTTGTGCACCTCTTTGTACTTTTATACTATCATATTGCAAGTTTGGTTTTTTTTGTTATACGGGTTTTTGAATTAGGCTTTAAACTACTTCTTTACTAAGTATTGAGGCAAGGAATTAAAACAATAATTGCTGTATTAAGCTCTTAGCTATTTAGACAGAGTTATTTTATATGAATGGCCAGCAGCCTGCAGTTTATAATGTGGCACTACCTGTCGGACATAACGGTGCTTCTCAATTACCTTTTATTATTCAATCGCCTCAATTTTATGTCAAAGATCGAATGAACAAATCTACGGTAAGTCTGAAGAGTTTAAAAAATTTAGTTTAAAATGTAGAAAGCTTAAAAATTATATTTTTGCAGCGATTTTTAAAATTTACTTGCTTTACCAATGAATGCTTTTGTTGAGACGTAATGTTCTAGCAGAATTTCATTCTCGACTTTTGAGGTAGTAGGAGGAAATAAACTGACTGTGTCTAATTCTAATATTACTTTGCCTTGTGTTCCTACGGTTCGCATCGCTCAGAATCCACAGTTTGGTGTACGTTTTCTTGTTTTTCAATTCCGTTTTGTTTTTTTCTTCGCAGGAAATGAGATGTGATCTGCCCGTAATTGGTGACTGGAAGGAAAACCTCATCTATTTTTACTCTTTGGACAAAGTTGAATAGGATCATTTCGCTAATTTTCAGTTTTTTGTTTCTGCTTTTTATGTTCCATTAAAAGAATGACAGATTCTATCTTTAAAAAGTTGTTCCTAATTGCGCAATATTTTTCGTACTGCGTTTTAAAATGTTTGCTTTAGCCATGGTGGAGTTTTGAGAATTGGGAAAGTGTCTTCTCATACTATAATTGCTTCCGATGTATTTTGATCGTAAAGCTAGAAATCTTTCACTTGAAATTTCTCAGTTGTCATTTCGGTAAAGTCTAAAATTTAAAATAAAAGCTGCGTAGTCTGGCCTTCAGGCGAGATCTCTTTGACCTTCTTAATTTTGATTTTATTCGTTACTTTTAACTTAATTTACTTTTTATCATGATCTTGAGCGAAAAACTTTGATTGCAGAATGCGCAACACAGGAATCTTATTTCTTTGACTGCCACACCTCCAACCACTAGCGGCTCCCTTCCGAAAGGGCGTGGCAAGCATAACATCATTCAGGTTTGTTAATACTGGCTAGAAAATGATGCTGGAATGAATAATTTCTTCAGACAATAATAGATAATTTTTTAACAGTTTCAGGAAAGCCATGGTGCTCTTGGCACTATTAATACGAGAAAAGTCCAGAATGTTATTAATACTAAAAATGCAAAAAGCCAAAACCTCGCGAAAGACCTGGGACGTCCAAAATTGAGCCATAATTTGAAAAAGTCGCCAAACTGTTTGGTATCTATCGTTCGTTCTCCTTCATTTTTCGCTGTTATAGCAAGAACAAATGATTTCCAACTTATTAGAACAATTTCAAATCAAAAATATGCTTTAATTTTTTGTTTCTTAAACTTGCTCTTTAAAATAGGTTACTCGGTTCTTGATCAGAGGTTTTGCATTGGTGTATTTGGAAATGTTCGTTGCTGAGAATCGCAGTTCGTAATAGGACTGAAACCTTAAGTTGTATTTTTAAGAACAACCATTTATTGCTGCTTCTTAGGTATCACGCAGGGAATGGAATACGCAGTTTTCGCATTTGTCTGGCTTGTGAAGAGTTTTGTTATTAGAGCTTGAAATTTTACTAATATGCAAATTTCTTTGTATGCTCATCTGATTAAGCTCTACACCTTTTATTTTGAGGCCCAGGTGGAACTTGTTGTTTTAGTCTCGTAGAAGTCAAATTCGAGCAAAATTTTAGATGTGTAAACGGATAAAACAAACTTTATGTAGAGAATATTGAGAAATTCTTAGAAAATTTAAGCGGGTGTTTTAAACTAGTTTTTTAAAAATTCCTATTTGTCTTGCATGTCAGCTATTCATTTCAGTCCCAACTGTCCTAACCAATCATTTTGAGATGCAGAAAATTTTGGAATACAGCTTCGTTATGCAAAAGTATGCTGAGAATGCTAGCACTGGTCAAACAATGAAAAAAAAAATTGTGTACAGTTTGTGCAAACTTCTTAAATTTTTCTGTAGCACTATTTTTACTCTTCTGCTTTTTTGAGATAGTTCTACTTCAACTTATGCATTTCCTAAATGATTTTGCACAATTTCTGTGAGTTCTAATTACTGGCGATTGCTAGTTTTGAGCCCAGGAAACGGTCAGATTAACCCCAAGTGCATTAACTTTGTAGTTACTTTTCTTCAGGGTGAAGTTCAAATTCTGGGAAATTACAAATTTATTAAATCTGAAAAGATTTTTGGTACTTCTTATTACGTATGACACCAAATAATATGCTAACTAAAAGGTGCTTATTCAGCAGCAGTTATGCAGCTGGTTAGCAGATACATCAAGAGTAAAAACAGAAAGAAATACTATCAAATTGTTTTTATTTTACTAGGGGACTAAACTTTCTTAAAAATTGGTTATATTTATTGGAAATATAATAATAATCTGAAATTTTCCAATAGATCTTTTTCTACTCTGCTTTTTTACCGCTTCATTAGGCCATTAGCTTAGGTCTGATAAAGTACTGCGTGTGACATTTTGAATATAACATTTCTGTTCTATATGGAGAACAGAAGTTAAATTAGAGTTGACTTATTTCTGTTATGTTGCGATTATATTCTGCAACTTAAATCAAATTGATCTAATAGCGACTTGTCTTCGACAAAGGTCATTTCAAGGAACTTACTTTTTTGTTTTTTTTTAATGCAAGTCAAACAAGTTCCTTTTTGCTAGATTCTTGAACAAGTAGGAACCCATTGGTTTTACACGGTGCATTTAGTCACATGGGGAAGGAAAGCGACATATTAAAGTTAAGAATAGACCAAAGTGATTTTGTTAAAACAAAGTAGTGAAGCATACCATCATTATCTTACTAGTCGTTGAATTTCCTTCAGCTCTTTAGGACTAGACTCGACATTTTGGAATCTTATCTTCTTTCGTACCATAACTTCAAAATAGGCAAAGTAAAAAACCTCCTGTTTGCTCTCCCCATTCTTTTGCAAAAAATCAGCAAAAACAGAAGTTCTTGGGAGAGCAGAAGGAAAATCAAGCGTTTCTGAAAAGTTTTGTAATTGTTACCTTAGATTTTTTCTTTAGCTTTTTAATCTTTTAAATCTTATTCAAAAGGGTTTCACTTTTCAATTTGGGCAGCGTCATTTCCTTGCGTCTCAACAACGTCCATCCATTCCCTTCGTTTTTTAAATAATCCTGCTAATAATAATTTTGTTTACTTTCCTGCCGTTTCAAGTAATCCCTGCTTTAGAGGTTCCAAGGACGGCAACCACCGGATTTAAAGTCTTTAAAATTTGAGATATATGGTGATTTTTCACTTAAAAAGAACAATCCGACATTCAGACAAATTGAAACAGGTGGTGAATGATTCCATTTCTTCAGTTTTTGCTCGGATACTAGCTGTAACTCTACAGTAATTACGATGGACTCTAGAAATAACGATCGCTTCTTCAAAGCTTTATTTCTGATAGATTGTTTTGAAGGTTGGCAGCCGTCACGTCGTTTACTTACCGTTGCAAATTACTTTCCGGAAGAAGGCTCGTCACCGCTGACAACAATGCTTCACTGCGGATTTTGTTATGCAAATAATGAGCCTGAGGATGTTTACAGATCTCACAAGTTCGTAAGCTCCTAATCCTAGTTTCTAGCAGCTGGAGTACTAATTCCATGGTAGTAACCACTTTGGCGCTGTTACAGATAAGCGTGTGCACCTCCGAAAAATGTATCTTTTGACTGTCATTCCAACTTTTTTTTTTTTTTTTGTTTGTATACAGGGTTCTCGACACTGCCTAGTCTTCCTCTGATAGTTCAGACTTGTCTGTGTACCTTTTGCTAAGTCTGTAACTGCCTAATGATGAAATTTCGCTTTAATCCTTTTGCTATTTAATAAGGATGTTCTTGTCTTAGCAGGTGGTGCTATGGATAGTGCAGGCAATTCTTAACCGCACTCTTAGAAGTCGGGAAGGTTATAATCCACCCCCACATAATCCTTTATTCACATTCCGTGACCATTTCGTGGTCCGTCTAGAAATACTTATTAAATCACAGTGTTTTAGTTGTGTACGTAGAACTCAATAGATGAAAATAAGTGGGTCCATATCCCAGACGAGTTTGCTTTTACTACTTTATACGTGCCTTTAGTTTTTTCTAAATTAAGAGACAGTCAAGAAGTAACTTCCCGGAAGGAACTTTCAATTCCCGGGAGGAACTGATTACAGATTGTGGGATGCGCGGTATAGTCAAGACGGAATGGTAGGAATTAGGAATTAATTAAAGCGAAGATGCTGGACAAAATTTGGCTTTTAGGAATCTACAGCTCAGACCTTTGTTTTATCTTTGTCACGCTTTTTCGCGTAGTCCTTCCTCTTCATTTTTGTTGAAAGTTCTTCACCCAAGATTAATTTTTCTATGTTTTAACTACCTCTTTAAGTTTTAGGAAGTGGATAGGAAACTTTCTAAAGTGGCAAAAGCAAGTTTTTCTAGGACATGAACTCACTTAGTGCCATTTGTCGAGTCCTGTGTACACAACATAAGTGCTGATTAAAAGGACAGGACTCTGGTCAGGCAATGTGAGAACTGCGAGCAGATAAACGGAGGTAAATTTGAGCCTTTTAGATTTCTGGGATCGCACGTACGAAATACTTGTACATTAAACCGCTTGTCGACGCAAAGTCACCCTCGTAAAGTGGTGGGAGGATTAAAGCGACATTTTAGCATCAGACCTTTAAAAAGTTGGCAGAAGCTAGTAGGTCAACCCAAAACCATCACAGATGAATTAAGCGGTGTCGAGATGGTGTCGGGAACCCGACATACAAAGAATATTGTTAGGTTGACGATTAAAAAAAGCATATTTAGGAGTAAACCCCGCTTGACTGCAATAGCGCTGCCACTTGCTAATTCGTTGTTGAAAATAGGTTTTAGATTTAGAAAAGTAACGTAGCGAGGTTTAATAATGGTACTTAGAAATCATTTGTTTTTGTGATGACCGCCTCAGTTCTTTTAAGTATCTAAATTATACCAGTAAAAAAACCTTCAGCCTTTGATTGGAAGTTTACAACGACAGTCATATCTTCATGCGACAAGGCCATTCATGGGATTATAAAGAATAAGGTGTGTAGGGGTTGTGAAGTGGGTAATTCCAATTCCATTGGTACTTTCTAAG